ATAGAAGCTACTGAAGAAGATTCTGAAACAAGCTTCTGAAGAAGATTATAAAAAGAGCTTCGGAAGAAGATTCTAAAACAAGCTTCTGCAGAAGATTCTAAAAAGAGCTTCGGAAGAAGATTCTAAAACAAGCTTCTGAAGAAGATTCTAAAAGGAGCTTCGGAAGAAGACTCTAAGGTAAGCTTCTGAAGAAGATTCTAAAACAAGCTTCTGAAGAAGATTCTAAAGAAGATTGTAAAAGAAGCTTCTTAAAAAATTCGCCTAATTTCAATTATTAGGATCTTGAAAATAGTAGAACGACAAAGAACAGTTCATGTTTAAATGAAGGAAAAACTTCTTAAAATTTTCAAATGTTGAATAGAACCAGCTCCTCTCAGATGAAGAAAAACAAAATCTGACTGCATGCTACACTCAAAAGGCAAAAATAACAAGGATTATAATTTCAGCTTGATCCAATAAATTTTAGGAAAATAACGGGCATCTTTTCGAAGAAGTAAAATAATCTCATCGAAGTTTGGAATTTCGACCTCCGAACGAACTTTTGTAAAGCTTCCCAAAACTCCGGCTACCTGTATACAAACCTATGATCTGAAAGTCGTTGACCCGAATGGCCTATAGACCCATCAGACAAAAATTGCACAACTCGGATCTAATCTCCATCTTGCGACATGCCGTCTACTAGGTGTACTAAATCCTAGACTAAATCATAGGGGTGCGACACATCTAAATTTCAATTATAGATGGTCGGGAAATCACACGTATCTTTTGTATCTCTTTATTAGTTTTTGTTTGTCTTGTCCCCCGTCTCGATGAGTCTCATCGTCGCCCACTGGTCACCATAGTCGGTCGAACTCCAGACGAATCTAGAACCACACTACCGTTCATACTGGCGACATCGCTCTGATGAGACAACGAAACCCTACCCCAAGCTCCTCCCCCTTTTCCTATCCTTCGACAATGTACCCCTCTAACCTCGAGTAAGACCATTGACACCGTCTTCAACCAGAGGTTGTACAGACTGAATACTTAACACTAGACAATGGACAACACACAACACCCAGTAGACCAGTAGGGAAATTTCCGGGTTGCAAAAAGTTCCACCGGCTGGAGCGGGAATCGAACCCTCACTTCGTGGCACTCACAATACGCCTGAACGACGGGTGACACCGCTAACCGCACGACAACGAAGCCCACCGAAGCCGCGAGTATTCGGCCCAACTCCTACTAGACATAGAATTAAGTGAATTTTGTTACAAACAAAGAACAATGAATTATCGGCTCCGTACAGCTAGCGCGATTGAGCCTTACAAATAAACGAACTAGATAAAAAAAATCACACCTTAGCGAATCAATCTAAGAAAATTTGCATCTCTTGCATCTAGATCTATCTACTCGCATCGCTGTCCATCTTTTTGCTGGAAATCTGCAAAATCTTCATCAATCGTCTTTCTATCTACTAAGCGTGCGGATTATCCTGAAATTTTGCATTTGAGGCAAAAATCTATCTAAGATTCTGTAAAAATATTATAAAAAATAATAATGCATGAACCAAAAATCAATTACGGCTTGCTTCGCCCCCTGGAGTGGTTTGGAAATTGCCTACGGTCCATACAAATTTCCCAAAAAATGATGTCTACGGGAGGGTGGGGGTTCTGAATGGGGCTGGGAGTAGCCGTCCATTCTGTTACTCCATAAATTAAAGATCAATAACACGTCCTAGCAATCAAGTAGGGGTGGAGAAAAAATATTAAAGTTACTTTTTTGGTGTTGACCTCTGTGTCGCCACAAAAGTCACCGGATGGGAGATATTGTTCGTAGGTAAGCTTCTTTTTTGAGTTCATTGTATCATGATTCACCTAAGTGATGTGATCATAGTTTTGATAAAATATACTGCTCAAGGCTTGAGAAGCAACTCAGTAATGTAAGCAAAAATGGTCACCACTAGGTCACTGAGTACCTTAAATAACAACCCACGTTTTAGCTGTGGTTATGATTAGAAAATAAATAAATAGAAAGCACATCTTTGATGTGAAAGAGTCTGGAATTAAGCAATGATGTTCTGCTCTATGACCAAATCGGTTGCCATTGGGCCACCGAGGTCTTCAACGAATATTAGATCGTGTGTTAAAATCACTATGTAAATCCAATGACGACGACTTTCGCGTACAAAATGACCTCCTCGGAAGAGTTAACCATGATTTTCGATCGACACGACCGTTCGAGCGTTCGAACATAAAGGTAACTCTAAGACTAGAAGGTCCCGAAATAACGTGCTCAACTTTTTGGCTCAGCTCTGGTACTCTCTTCAGTCCCAAGCTAATCGATTCACCCCTCGAAACATAGGAAAAACCAATAACCCCTCATTTTATCTGTCAAAATTTCATAGCGAATCAAAACAAACATTGCGTAGTACTAGAATTTCGACTAGAATGGGATACGTTAATCGTTTGCTTGGGGCCAATAGGCTAGTCAAGTAGTGAGCCAATTTAAAATCGTTAGTTTCGTATTGATTGTTGGTTCGAACGAGTCAGTTGTGATATTTAGTTGGCCTTCAGTGAGTCGTGTACAAACGCTTAAATGGCTATTAAAAACACTCAAATAGCTTTTCGAAATCCTAACATCTCGGAACGCCATTCTTAGAACTCCAAAATTAGTTAGAAAGCGTCAACATGACAGTGATGACCAACTGGATTGAAAACCAATATGATTAAGAAATTTTTGAACTCGGAAATGATCTTTAAAACACCAACAAAATCAACCTTAAAACTCAAAAACGTCTCTAAAGCTGATATAAAATGCCAAAACAATAACTTCAAAATTATCGACAATGACCGTTATTTTTAAAACTGCAAATGAAGTTGAAAAATATTTGAGCATAAGGATTCAAATGTATAGCATGGTAGATTTTAGTCTCTCGTTTTTTTGCAACCTCCAATGGAATCTGCCATGAGATTATGATCCCGTTTGGAAAATTTGATAATTTTAAGATTTTTAAAAGGGGCAAGATAAGTTTGATATTTTTGAAAATATCATCAATTATTTCTAAATATCAACGAAAGAATTTTTAAATCGAATACAAGTAAAAGCTAGAGTTTTTTTTTGTGATGAACAATATTTGTTCTACGGATACTTTTGTTTTTAAGTATAAATCCATGGATGGACCACCACATTTTGGGAAATGGTCACCCTAATGATAAAAATCGGGTCTAATATTTTGCATAAGGAACAGAACTACCAATTTGTAGGAAATTCTGATAACCACTATATCGCTTTGCTATGGAATGGCTGTACAGTTAGCACTCGTGAGAAGTTCTTTCGAAATGAACAGTATTCGATCAAAAGGCGTTCGGCCAAATGCGGCATTCAGCCAAGTCATTAAAATAGCATCAGAAGTCTTAAAATATATTGAATTTAAACACCAATACATTAATGGCTAGTTAGGGGAAAGGTCCTATGAAACGTAAATATGATCATATGCCTTAAAACGCATAATTAGCTTTGAAAAAGTAGTTTTTAAATCAAATGATTAAGCAGCCAAACGTCAAAGATAAAAAAAATGCCCATCATTAATCGCAACACTGGCATTGAAGCTCCAAAATGGTTTGTAAACACGGATATTTTGAATGGTTTTCAAGGGAAAACCATTACTCAACCTTTTCCAAAAGCTCTTAATGAAGGATTTGATTTGATTTGAAATTTGATTTATCTTAAGAAAATTTATTGGACTCTAAAACAACTTGGTTATTAATTTAAGTTTTGAATAAGTTTTAATTCTAGTAAAAATACGAACACATAATTAAAACAAAATAGGTTCGTATTCTAGCTCAACTATGATTCACTGTAGTTTACACCCAACAAACGAATTGCTATGAATAACTTTATAACGTAACCATAGAAACCATCTACACGCAGATGAAGATTTACTCACCTACAGGTTGTTTATACCACAAGCTGTCAAATCATTGAAACTCCATTTCCTATTTCAAAAATCCATTATCAAAGCTAGGAAAAAAAATAAATAAGCCTGTGTGCACAAATTCCGCCCAATAGCTCCGAAAAACAATGAACCCGTTAATTATCGCCGCTATTCTGAGAAATAAACCACCCAGCTCCGCGCAGTTATAGTGCTATATATAGTCACACGTTCACTTTTACTGATGCGGAAAAATGCCTTCTTCCACTCTCGTCGCAACTATGATTACCTATTATGAAAAGTAATACTTAAAGCGGCGAAAATTGAAACGCAAAGAAAAACGTCAACACCGCCCGCCACTCATCATTGGGCTGTGCATCGCAATCGCATTGTTCCAAAGCATAACCAAAAGGGTGAACGATGGAAAATTGAGGTGGAAAACAATACCGTGTCATTTACGCGCGGTGCTATTTCGAAAGAAATGCTTTTTTTTCAGTAAGGATTTCTGAGCTGAGGCCCCCCCCTAATTGGTTTCAGTGGTCTTCTTTTTCGATCACCGATTGCCGTTTGCCGATTGCCGCAGAATAAAAACAGCGTGCGACTAATCAGAATGACGCAACCCGCCTGCTTGGATTGGAAATCCCTTGTATTACTTTTTTTCTTGCTGGAAACAGTCAGACACGGATCAGATATTGGTGATGACGACACATGGCCAACTTGCATGCACGGACGGAGTGCAGAAGTGAAAACGTCAAAATCACGCTACCCCCAAACGGAGTAGTTCTCCGAACTGAGGCTGCCGTTGCTCCGTAGATGATTGAATCTAATTTCGTACCCTGCCGACCGGCATAGCCTACCTGATGAATCACGCAACTTCATATTGCATGCTATGATTTGTGCCTTACGGGCACGGTGCCCTAGGAGAAAATGCAGCCGGAGTCGTTTAAGAAAGGGTCTCGAGTTGACGTGCAGGAAATGGACAATTTGTTTTTCGGTTGACAGAATCGGAGCTTCTCGGTTCGGTGTCTCTAGGTCACCTGGTTGCGTTTGCAAGGGAAAGGTGGTGCAGTGGATGGTAGGTACTCACATTGTTTGATTACTATCAGCACTAGCAGCAGCAGAAGCGGCGGCACAGGTGGCAATACGGTAGACCTTCTACGGATCCCACCGGCGACGGTGCAAGCCATCATGATGACGAAGTAGAGTGACGAACGACGACGACGACGACGACGACGATGATGATGATGGGCTTTTATCTGCTTCTTCCGATGAACGGTTGCTGTGGTTGCTCGTTACCGGAGCTTTTGTTTCGGTTTTTTTTTGAGGTTTTTATGACTTTTTCACAATTTTTATTGCGGCATTCACTTCACTAACTCTTTTTCTCGGGCCTCTCCCGGGATTTAGAAAATTAATGTTTCCACTAGTTTTCGAACAAAAACCAGTGCGCAAACGAATAATTAAGAAGGCAGCAAATAAAAACAACCGCACACACACACACACTGGGCTCTTCCCAAAGGCTCTTCTCTCTTCTTTTCCGACCCGTAGGAAAAATATTTATGACCGGCTCTAACAATCAGCTTTCTTAATACATAAATTAAGTAAATCTCATTAAGTGATACATTTTTTCTTCCTCACCATTCGCCGCGCCGATGATGAGCCAATATTTCTCTCAAACGTTCCCTCTGTTTATTTATTTGTTTTTTATCTTTTCCCGCATTGATCGTACGGCGATCGCAACGTCCAGAAGCGCCGTTTCCCGTTAATTAAGATAAATGAAAAATCTCTCGGATGCAAAACAATCGCTAATCTTATCCGTTAGGCTAATTAATAACCTGACTGCTCGCGGCAAGTGGCAGCCTCCGGCCCTAAAGTGATTGCACAACTGCAACTGTGAGTCCAAGTCTCTTGGAGCACGCGATCGCGATCCACACGACGATTAGATTCCACGCTCTTCAGCTTACATTCTCTTGAAACGTAAACGCTCAAAGTCCTTCAGTTTACACACGATCACAGTAGGCGCATCTCCAAGCACACCAAGCACGGGGTGACGACTCTCGATGGGTCAAAAGTCAAACGATGGTTAATGAATGAGCGCAAGCGTCCGAATCGACTGCTCTTCGTACTGGCGAATCGATGAATGAAACTTCACTTCACTACCGAAAAACGTTGAGGCCGGTACCGCCTCCCCCCTGCGCTGGTGGTGTTGTTTTCACACCACACGATCTCTTCTTCCTCTCTTCCTGCTTCCGATTCCGCAGAGTGCACACACTCTCTCCCGTCTTACTCGCGGCGGCCAAACAACGTGCTTCGCTCAAGACAAGTATCCACACGATCCTTCTTGTTTTGCAAGATTCCGTCGCGCAACAGTGTAACCACGCGAACGATCCACCTCGTAAGACCGACTACTTGGAACTAAACTATATCGGAGTTCATCAAAGTCGCTCGTTCGTACGAGAACGACACCTCCGGAGGTGGTAGCAGGCTCCTTCATTCTCTCTCCTTCGCGCCGAAACCTGAGGAGGCTCTCTCGTTCGCTTTTCTTCCTCACACAGCACTCGCTCGTAGTAGTTGGCCATGCAATGTGTTTTAAGAATGAAAAAGTTCCACAAAAATGAATGAAAAGTGATTTTCTTGATGTGTGTTGAGGTGTACTCTTCCATCACGTAGTTTACGTCGTGGACGCGACGGGTGGTGCCGTGCCGGTGGGTCAAGTTCTGTGTATGTATATTTACACGCTCTTTTGCAGTTCTCCCTGTATGTGCCTCTGAACTCGCTCTCTGGTATCTATTGCTTACTCCGTTTCTTAGAAAGGTGTAGAGGGTACCTAGCTCATTCAATTCGCATATTACTATACATATTTTTGGGTTTGGGCTTTATCGTCATTGCATTGGGTAAGCTATGCAGGTAGGTACCTTGAGAGCCAGGTGAGTTGGGGTACGGCAGGATGGAGGAAAAGGTGAGTGATGAACGCATACCGGCAGGTTGTGTGGTTGCGCTGCTACAGTGCAGGCCTTCTGCGATGGGATGGTTAGGTTGGACATCAATGTTTCAACAAATTGTGAAATATGCATTTATCCCTAAATATTAATACAAGCTATTCTAATCATTTACAGCTGTAATGATTTAAAATTTCACAATAATTCTCGCGTAACATTTGAATAGGGCCTATGATCTAAATGTAAACAAATCGATTTTTTATACCATTCTGTAGCACTGGTAATTAGCTACCAGTCGTATAGGAATGTTCCGCATTATCGATAAAAATCATTAAAAATAACTTGATTTTAAAAACGGCCGATCCACGAAATTTTTCCAATCATTCATGCTAAAACGGCCTAACCTCGGGCCTAACATATATTTTTTTTCGTTCGATGAGGTTCCATTCATAAGCCTAGCGACGTAGAAGGGCCGATGATTGAAAAGTTTCAAATCAAAGCTAGGCCCTACTGCTTGAGGCAGGGCCGATGATTTTTTTGACGTTAAGAAAAGGCTTAGCAAAGGGCCTACAATTTATGATGACAAGCACAACGGTTTAACAAAAAGGGCCTAACCATTTAAAGATTCACAAAAAGGCTTATTACTGTGATATTAAATTTTTATCGATTTTCATGTATTTTTGAAAACGTTTCGCATGTTTTGGATGTTGTGTACTGAGATATAGTTAATATTGTTATTGTGAACAATATAAATGCCTAAAATACTTCAATTTATTTATATAGGAATTAAATACTGGCGGAAAAATTTACAATTCATTTTCTGGATTGTTTACATTTTGGACATAGGCTCTTTTCAAATGTTACGCGAGAATTCACAATGTTTGTCAAGAGAATCAATTTAATTCTCTTTTAGCAGAATGGGATAGCTTTTCAAAGGAACCAAGAAACGCAAGTAGGGTAGAGAACTAATACGGCCTAAGCGCCCATTTTGGGCCTATCAAGCAGAAAACATTAAATAAATCCATGATTTCGTCGTTAACAGGTAAATTATGCGTTTGGTACGATACTTTAGTTCAAATGCTACCAAACGAAGTCAATAAAAACAAATGAAGAGCTCCGACTAAATCAATTTTTATCTTCATCCGATAGGCCGAAGTGAACTCATTGGCGTTTCAATAACGTTTCAATGCGTTAGGCCGAGTTTAGAAGTAGACCGAGTTTGGCGTCAAGAAGCAGTGTTGAGCGCCCATTACATATGTCTATATATTGACAAACATCGTATTGTCAATTTTCCTTACAATATAATCAATATATAAATATTGACAACATTAATGACAATTCACTAAAGTGTTTGTTACACAGGTCAATATATTGACAATAAATTGACATACTGACAATATTATTGAAAAGGTAATATTGATGACGATGGTTTTATGACGAGTATTGTTGAAAACTGATTTTAATTCCACTTTCTCAATATTCTTCACCTACTCAAGAGGAGGGAGAACGTACGTCATTTAGACCAACTGACTCACGCATGCAGTGTTGCCATTTTGTTTAAATCTTCGTGTGTGATATAAAATGGATATCAAACTAAATAAAAAAAGTATCCTTTTACAGTCACCAATCACTACCCAGGCTTCGTCTATATGGATGTTGATTTGCTACAAAATCACAAACATAATCATTTTAAAATAAAATAAATACTGTCTGCGTTTCACATGCCTACACGTAACGCAAATTAAATAATATATGCAAGTTTTTCCTTTAGGGATGTTTACCAAAACATCAGCATAATAGTTTATATATCTCCTTCTTCTTTTTCGCATTTCAAGCTTATTGCATATCGCATATTAGCTTATGGCGTACTCTCAACTTAGTGTTCTAGATGCACTTCCACAGTTATTAATTGAGAGCTTTCGATGCCTGTACCATTTTTGCATTGGTATAATTGTGTGGCAAGTCCAATCATACTTCTATGCCCAGGGAAGTCGAGAAATTTTCCAACCCGAAAAATTCCTAGACCGGACCGGGCATTGAACCCAGCCACCTCCAGCATGGTCTTGCTTTGTAGCTGCGCCTTTACCGACTGAGCTAAGGGAGGCCCCAAGTTTATATATAGGAAACTCCATACCATGAACACAGACAAACTTTTAGTTGGGAATGTGCTTGCATTTGTCATGGTGGCGCCACTGAAGCATTGAGCAAGCCACCACATTTCAAACTTATCAGTGATGCCAGTTCTTTTTCACGTCTAGTTAGTAGATGTCAGCTCTTGAAAATGATAAGTGGTCAAGGCATCCCACTGGAGACACATACCACACCTGACGAATACAAAAAAAAAGTGGTTGAATATTACATCAAAACTGCTGCACATTAGTCATTCCGTTCCTAATATTACGTTGTACGATTTTAGGGATGAATGACCTTAATACCCCGTTCACATTACAGTCTATATCACGTAATATAGGCTGTCTTGCAATGAGCATTCATACATCTATTTTTCACTGGAAATCCTATGTATGAGTGCTCATTGCAAGACAGCGTATATCACGTGATATACGCTGTAATGTGAACGGGGTATAAGGTTGATGTTTCGACAGTTTCATAATTATAATTCTTAATTTGATTTCAGTAGGTGGCAATACCTTTACTTGTGGTTGAAGCAGTAACTATCCACTAGAAATACTCAGAGGGAGAGATGGGCGGAGAAAACAAAATACAATTCGACAGCAAGGATTTGTACCTAAATAATCTTGCAACCCTTGCTAGAAGCTAGCATTTCACATGACTGTTACTTTTGATTCGATTTACGTGCAAAGTAATAATTGATTACATCGCAATATTTTGCACATTTCCTTGTGCCATTAATTAACCAACTAAGATCAATTAATCAATAGAGTTAGAATATTGTTTTTAATTAAAAAATCTAGTTGAATTTGAGAAACACACGAAACATAAAGGTGCTTGAATTTCTGTTCGATTACAATACTCTCAAATTTAATCTAGTAAGAATAAGAAATCCTCGGAAAAATTCCAATGGGAATGTTCGATTGGCTCAGATTTTGACAGTTCATTTGGCTCAAAACATTCTCTCCGCCCATCTCTCCCTCTGAGTATTTCTAGTACCAACCAATCCAACAATTTTGAAATTTATTACGAAATTGTAAGGACCTATTTAAAATTATTCAATGATAATGTGTCGATTTTATTGATTTCTTACGAGTTATGGTAATTTGAAATTTTACCGACTTTTTCAGTAAATCAAAAACCGGGTAAAATTTTACCGACTTAGGTTATCCGAATTCAGTGTGTAGTTAGTATTTTCCATAGGTCCAGCAACGACGTTTCTCTTTTGACCCGCTGATCCACGTTTCTTGTGTGGGGAAATTGAGACAAGTAATATTGACTTTAATACATTGAGGTTAAAAGGCTTCAAACGTATTGCCATTGATGTTGTCAATATTCGTAAATTTGATATTGATAGAATTGACCAGGGAATTGATTGTTTTTTTTGTCAATATATTCTGACAAAGTTAAATGAAAATCAGCTTTCCGTCAATACTTGTCATGAATCATCATCATCAATATCACCTTTTCAATAATATTGTCAGTATGTCAATTTATTGTCAATAAATGTAATGTGTAATGGGCGCTTTATACTTTTAACAATATCCCAACAATTTGTTTCTCTTTATCAAATGTTACGGTACGTACGGAAATTTGAAAGCCATCGGTAATAATAACATTCCATTTGGTGCTAAACTACGCAAGATTCAGAAAGACTAAGTGTGGGTACGGCTTAAAAGGCCGGAAATGGGGTAGTTAACCCTAGTGGAAACGAGCTGATGCTTATTTTTATGGAGAGGATACAAAATGACATGTTATGACATAATCCCACAATGGTTTGATAATATTCAGTAGAAATCAAAATGAACGCACAGCACCTTTTCAAGAGGGTCAACTAGGTAAAAAGTTTGACATGCTAAATGAGCAATAGAATATGTATAGTTGGATCATGTTTTCGTAATTCGTATCTCATCATCGTTCATCGTTCTACATTGTTCACTCGTGAGTCCATACCAACTACGAGTGACCATGTATATAGTTAAGGGGGTACGCCTACCTGCAAGACCGAAAAAAGCGAAAGTTTGGATTTTTTTTTCTCGAAAACGACGCAACATATTGAAAATCAGTTTTCTGCCGTTTATTGAACACACATTAAATGGTACATTTATCAGTCGATGTTGTAAAAACGAGGTCCTGGTGCCCCGCACGGCTGCTTCCCGTGGACGATGTTCTAAAAAACGCTTTTTGCGGTGCCAACTGCGGTTTGCGATGTAATCATCTGAAATAAAAAAAAACCATGCCAAATCGTTAAGCATGTGTTAAACTAGTCCTTGATCGTTCGGTTTTTTTTTTAATTTTTTTGACAAAATGGCGGCCTTGCAAAGTTGAAGT